AGATCGTCAGATCGTCCGTCAATAGCACGGACGAAGTCAACTTAAAAAAAAAAAAAAAAGAGAAAAGAAGAAAAGCAACGGGCCTCCTGAAATTAACCAGGGAAAAAAACAAAACATAAACAGGCAGGGCGGTCGCAGAAGACAATGGTGGTGGCTTAAGCGAGAACCAGTTCGGCAGTTAAAAAAAAACAAAAAACAAAAAAAAAACACTTTTCTTCCTCTTCCTCTCTTCCCCTCCTCTTCTCCTTCATTGTCCTTTCTTGTTCGTGTTCTTGTTGTTGTTGTTTTTCCTCTTCTACGTACTACTACTACTACTACTACTACTTCTACTACTACAACTACTACTACTACTACTACTACTACTACTACTACTACTATACCTCCTGTCTCTGTACACTGCTACTACAGGCAATGCTAAGTACTACTACTAGAACTAGCACTACTTCTACTACTACTACTACTACTACTACTACTACTATTCTACTACTATTCTACTACTATTCTACTACTATTCTACTACTACTATTACTACTTGTCTACTATATGCTGTTCTGTTCTATGCTTATTGTATTCTATGCTATTCTATCCCATGCTTATTACATTCGATCCTATTCTATTCTCCTCCTCCTCCTCTTTCTCCTCTTCCCCTCATCATCATCATCATCGTCATCATTTTTATCATCAACATCGTCATCCACATCATCCACGTCATCATCATCATCATCATCATCATCATCCACATCATCCCCTCCCCCTCCCCCTCCCCCTCCCCCTCCTCCTACCCTTCTCCCTCTCCCTCTCCCTTCCTCCCCCTCTCCCTCCTCTTCTTCCCCTCCCTCTCCTTCTTCTTCTTCTTTTTCTTCTTCTTCTTTTTTTTCTTCCTCTTCTTCTTCTTCCTCCTCTTCTTCTTCTTCTTCTTCCTCGTCTTCTTCTTCTTCTTCTTCTTCTTTTTCTTTTTCTTCTTCTTCTTCTTCTTCTTCCTCTTCTTCCTTTTCTTCTTCTTCTTCTTCTTCTTTGTCTTATCAACACCGTCGACTGAGATCAGCCCTTCCCTTATCTTCGTTGTCTATATTAGGACGGCGGCAGGCTCGTTCATTCTCCCCACCTCCTAGTCCCCCTTCCTCTCGGCGTCGTAGTGATCCTGGTTCGTTGTCTGACCGACAACCTGCTTTGGTACGTGGACGGCGTTCGTCAATTAAACGCGGTCCGGTCCGCCAAATCAGACCGGGCCTTCCAGTGGTGACCGATTCGGATTTGCGAGCAGATCTACCAAACATTTGTGGCCTGACAGCCACGAATGTTTGCCTGCAAGCTTATCAGCGTCAAGGTTATACTGTATCTCAATTTCTTACAATTGCTTATCAGCTTGACGCTGTTGAAAATGAGTTGTTGTATGACCATAATGGTCTACCTCCTGAGGACAGTAATTATACTACCTCAGGAGGCTTTACTATAAATGTCTTACAGTTAGCGTTTCACGGTCGCCACCTTGTCATGCATTATGGGACGCCAGGCGAGGACCTTGATGCCCGTACTCATATTTTTGCATGCATTTTGCACAAACCCGGGCACTATATGGCCCTCTTTCGTGCAGCTGCCCAGTGGGAACTGTGGGATGGTGGGACGGTGATTCAGGTTATTGTCAACATAAATGAATTCTTGCGAGGTTTGTCAAACCATACACTGTTCTGGATTGTTGAGCGTTGCGACATTTGTCGGGATAGAGACGTGGTGCGTCTTGGTTGTGGAGTGCATTATCTGTGTCAACACCATTATCAATCCATTGCGACCGCCGCCGTATGTGCGGAAGGGTGTCTAACATTTCCTCATTGTGCACATCCCTATCACCCAGATGTGCGTTGTCCTTTCTGTTCCCAAGGACGCTATCAGAACTGCATGATGCCGCACTGTGACGAACGTCCTGCTGTTTTCTTGACATGTGGGCAACATGTCCTCTGTCGGGATTGTTTCGATGGGATGGTTCGTGCTAGCCGTCCGGCTGAATGCTGTACTAGCGCAACTCTCCTTGGGTATCCCTGTGAACATCCCCGTCACCCTCACCGTAGTTGTCCTATCTGCCGAGGGGGTGACAGATGAAGTGTAGAAGGAACAGATAAAAAAAGAAACCGAGTAAAAAGATAAAAAATAAATAAATAAAAAAAGAAACCAAGGAAAAACACAAAAAAAGAAACCTGAGAAAAAAGAAAAAAGAAAAAAGAAAAAAGAAAAATATGTTCTGTGGGATGGTAATTGGATTATCCGGGAGATGTGTCACTTGCGTCGTCTGTTTAATAGGCTTTCTTCTTCTGTGAGGTTTGGTTTTCTCCGCCTTTTCTTTACCTCTTCGCCTTTTGGCTGCGTGCAAGTGGGTCTTTGTGACACACGGGGATGGGGGCAGCCAACGCTCAACCTGTCATCCACGTGGCTGGCCTTGTACGTAAGAGGTGACGAACAGGTGGGGCTTTCCTTCCTTACTTATTTTCTTTTTCTTGTTGTGTCTTTTTCCGCCTTTGCACTCTGATTTCCATGGTGACAATATATATTGTTTTTATACCTGTCCTCCGGGTTCGTTTTGATTTTTTTTGCAGACAAGAATGCTTGACATCCTGGTTGGTCTAGTCCCGTCGTTTGGCCTGTGGGCAGGGGCGGTGCTTGCATGTGGGACTTGTCATCTGGGATCTGTTTTGTTGCCCCTGTTCTGTAGTATTTAACCTACATCGATGTGGGCGGCCTTGTACGCAAGAGGTTCTGAACAGGGGGAGTTGTAAGGCAGAAGATTAAAAATGAATCAAGTTTTTCTTGTTTCCTTGTTTTCTTTCGTTTTTCGCTTCGGCGCTCTTATATCATGTGACAATATATTGTCACAAGAGTATCAGAGCGGAAATGCGAACAAAAAGGAAAAAAGAAAGAAAAACAGGAAAAATTGAATTCCTGTTTTTCTTTCTTTTTTCCTTTTTGTTGTCACAAGAGTATCAGAGCGCAAATGCGAACAAAAAGGGAAAAATTAAGAAAAACAGGAAAAATTGAATTCCTGTTTTTCTTTCTTTTTTCCTTATAACTCCCCCTGTTCAGAACCTCTTGTGTACAAGGCCGCCCACGTGGATGTAGGTTGAGCGGCGGCTGTCCCCACCCCCGTGTGTCATATCGACCCAATTGCACACAGCCAAAAGGCAAAGTGGCAAAGAAAAGAGGAAGGGAACAGCCAAATAAAACAGAACAGGGGGCAACAAAACAGATCCCAGGTGACAAGTCCCACATGCAAGCACCGCCCCAGTCCTACACAGGCCAAACAACGGGACAAGACCAACCAGGATGTCAAAACATTCTTGTCTGCAAAGAAATAAAAAAAAGTCCCAGATACATATCTATACACAGCAGATGGCCATGTTCGACATCAAGAAGTTGGTATTCGCATTCGGCGTCATCGTAAGCAATTCGTACCGGGACATCATACAAAACAATCCTAGATGATGATTCCCACATAAAAGCACCGCCCCCATTGATAGGCCGAACAACGGGAAGCAACCAACTAGGATAGCAAAAAGAACCCGGAGGACCGGTATAAAAGGCAATCCCGGATGACAATTCCCACATAAAAGCACCGCCCCCATGCAGGGCGAACAACGGGAAACAACCAACCAGGATGCCAAGACAATAAAGAAACCCCGGATGACTGGTCCCACATGAAGCACCGCTACGCCTGTGAAATAGACCGAATAACGGGACAAAACCAACCGGGATGCAGACAAGATTACCATAACAAATCTACCATATCCGTAGTAAAAATAAAAAAAAAACGGAACCATACAGTATATTTTAATTTATGAAAGGCCTTCCACAATTCATACCCCAAATTCGAATTCCAGGGTCAAGGTCTTAGGGAGGCTAAGTCGGTCAGTTTCAGAGAAGTCACAGTCGGGTACCTTAGGAGTGGAGTCCAACAGGCACCCCCGGTGAACAGTCGCATCCCAGGGGCAGAGATTGCATTCTTTGAGCAAAAGTCACGTCTCATACTGGAAAGTCATATTGTAAAGTCACATCCCACGGCCCACGGGCAAAGGACACCTTCCCAAGCAAAAGTCCTGTCCCAGAGGCAAGGGTCACAATCCACAGTCAAAAGTCTTGGTTGACAATTGAAGAGTCGTGAACCCCAGGCCGCAGGTCCAAGCAGCAGCACACCAATGGAAATTCGGGAAAGGCACAAGCCAGGCCCTGACATTCTGAAGCAAACAGGCCGTGGGGATGTGGTACCAGAATCAAGTCAAGCCCGAAGAAGCAGACTCTGAGGCTGGGACGAGTTGAAGCTCAGCTCAGTCCAAGACAATATAAGGACTGGCCAGCCTCCTCATTCGGGCAGATTGCTCATTCACACGAGGTGTGGAAGTGCTGGGGCACTTGTGCGATATTGTGAGGAGCGGAGCGCTGAGCCAGGGAGCTGCGCTACCAGAACCAAGTCAAGCCCCAAGAAACAGAGGCTGGGACGAGTTGAAGCTCAGCTCAGTCCAAGACAGTATAAGGACTGGCCAGCCTCCTCATTCGGGCAGATTGTTCATTCGCACGAGGTGTGGAAGTGCTGGGGCACTTGTGCGATATTGTGAGGAGCGGAGCGCTGAGCCAGGGAGCTGCACTAGCAGAGGGGGAGAGAGGGAGCAGCCATAGCTGGCCCAGCGCTGGCAGAGGGAAGGCAGCCATAGCTGCACCAGTGTTTACTGTTAGTAGTAGAACTCAAGAGGGGTTAGTAGAGTTAGCAGTGGGTGTATTCAGAGTGGCTCCTGAGTAGTAGAGAGTGTGAGTGCATGCAAGTAGGGAGAGAAAACACAGGGAGGTAGTAGACATAGAGAAGACTGAGAGAGGAGAGAGAAGAGCAGTGAAAGAGATACTCACCTGAATGAAGATACTGATTACCTGGATCTGCGCTGTTGAGCAATTAATTGTGACTGGAACTCTTAATTGCTCATATGATTGATAATTTGTTGGAATTCTAAAGCTGTGCGTACCTGGTCTTCGTCTCTCTGGTCTCAAGTGTGAACTTCGTGTAATCTCATTTTTGCATGGTGTGTGATTGTGTGCAAGTCATTGGTGGTGAACTGGGAGGTTCATTGCATTTAATTGTTATAATAAAAAAACATATTTATTGCCAGCCTTGTGCTGATTTAAAGAAGAATGATGGAGCTATATGTTTTTAATTATTTAGTCGCTTTTGGATAAAAAAAAGGTTGTGGACACTGTTGTTAACAGTGCAGCGCTGGCGATTTTATTTTATCACTTCGCAAATTGTTGCTTGCTGATTGGCAGAATGAAAAGGCAGCGAGAGGAACGGCAGCGAGAGGATGCCAGGAACTATAATTCTACTCCTCGGAGGGGAAATGCTCGCAGTGGTCGAATGGAGGGAGGAGGTTCAGTGGAAGAAAAAAATACCAAAGGTTCAACAGACGTGAGGAGAGAATGCCCTTATCTGGATACTGTTAATCGTCAGGTCAGTCAAATCATTGACCACGGTGTTCCATTTTCTTGAATTGGACATTCTCAGTATGCACAGTGCCTGCATCACCCTTATGAACAAAGAAACCTCCTGTTTTTGAATTTTCATGCTCTCTCTCTCTCTCTCTCTCTCTCTCTCTCTCTCTCTCTCTCTCTCTCTCTCTCTCTCTCTCTCTCTCTCTCTCAACCGCCAGGTCAGTCAGTGGCAGCCATTGCCTGCATCACCCATGAACTAAAATATGTCGTTTTCTTTATCATCTTCCTCATCCTGGTCCTTGTCCTTGTCCTGGTCCTGGTCCTGGCCTCATCGTCCTTGTCGTCCTCCTCCTCCTCGTCCTTTTCGTCTTCGTCGCCCTTGTCCTCGTCCTTGTTGTCTTCGTCGCCCTCGTTCTCGTCCTTGTCCTCAGCCTCGTCCTCGTCTTCGTCTTCATCCTCGTCTTCATTATCTTCGCCGCCTTCGTTCTCGTTCTCGTTCTCGTTCTCGTTCTCGTTCTCGTTCTCGTTCTCGTTCTCGTTCTTGTTCTTGTTCTCGTTCTCATTCTCGTTCTCGTCCTTGTTTCTTGGTCGCCCTCGTTCTCTCATCCTTGTTGTCTTGGTCGCCCTCGTTCTCTCGTCCTTGTTGTCGTGGTCGCCCTCGTTCTCGTCCTCGTCCTCATCCTCGGCCTTGTCCTCGTCCTCATCCTTGGCCTTGTCCTCGTCCTCGAACTCATTCACGTCCTCATCCTCATTCTTCTCCTCGTCGCCGTCGTTGTTGTTGTCCTTGTCGTCTTTGTCTTCGTCTTCGTCTTTGTCTTCGTCTTTGTCTTCGTCTTCGTCATCGTCTTCGTCTTCGTCTTTGCCTTCGTCTTTGCCTTCGTCCTCGTCATCGTTTTCGTCTTGGTCTTCGTCATCTTCTACTTCTTCTCTCCTTGTTCTACTCTCCTTGTTCTACTCTCCTCTATCTCATTCCACTTCTTCTTGAGTTGCGGCTGATGATTTTGCAGAGTGGATATTTGCATCGTGAATGAGCCAGGATCATAGTATCGGATATTCTCTGAGTGAAGTCTGTTCTGTCTGCTTTCTGATGCGTTTGTGTGCGTTCTGTTTTTGGTGATGCAGGTTCTCGATTTCGATTTTGAGAAGTTTTGTTCAGTTTCGCTGTCAAATTTGAACGTCTATGGCTGCTTAGTTTGTGGAAAATATTTTCAAGGGAGAGGTAAACACTCTCATGCTTATACACACAGCCTGGAGGCAGATCACCATGTGTTCATCAACCTTCATACAGAGAAAGTGTACTGTGTGCCAGATGGATATGAGATCAATGATCCCTCCTTGGATGATATTCGGCACGTCCTCAACCCCAGGTAAGTCTACTTTTCCTGCAAACTCAAGCAAGCACACACACACACACACACACACACATACACACACACACACACACACACACACACACACACACACACACAGAGAGAGAGAGA